AATACAGCTCTCGAGTCCGGGGAAACACACGGTTGGTGCCGGAGGTCACTCTCTATGCGGCCATGCGGTGCTACGAGCCACCGGAAGTCCCCATCTGTTCGTATGTTGTATACTCATTGTTTGTTAAATAAAGTTTATATAAAAAAAATAAAAAAAAAACATCAAACAGCAGTCGCTTTCTAAAACATCGGATTCAGGACCACATACGAAAGTGACCCAGGTCGGATTTGAAAATATCGGATTTGTGCCGTTCACACTGTCACACCATGATCGGATATGGGTCGCATAGAAATTCGATGCGCTTTCGCCTGCAGTGTGAATGTAGCCTAAGAGGACCCAGGTTACACAGTAACCGTGCGATCTCTAGCTGGTCGCATAAACCTATGGCATGTGGGAAATACGCCAGATAGAGAGATGGCGCTACAGGCTGGAGAACTCTCACTCGCCACAGCGAGGGCCGACTGGCGTGTAAGCCGGCAAAGCGGGCAACACGCCAGGGGGACAGCCTACAGTAGCAGGCCAAGCTAGGGATGACACCTGTCCATCCGAAGAGCCGAAGCCGAGGGGGACTGGCAGCCTAGCCTGCCGAAGTGGAGGGCTGAGCGAGGCGACAACCCGAAGGTCCACCCCCAGCACCGTCACCGCGTGCTGTCCGCAGACAGAGGAGCCTCAAGAGTCAACTTGAGGACGATACACTCGTGCACAGCTGGCGCCGCAGGCTGGAACACACACGCTCGCTGGCTGACGTATCAGACACAGCGTGGTGCGGCTGGCGCATAAACCAGCAAAGCTCGGGCAAGACGCCAGGGGGAAACAGCATGCAGTTGCATGAGCAGCAGTAATAGCAGTGGCTCAAGCTGCAGAGGCGAGGAGCCGCCCCACTCGAGCAATGACAGGAGCCCCGCTGGTCATGTGAACCATGCACCTGAGCTGTGGGGCGTGGCCTGGCACGCCGGAGTGTCTTAAAGAAGTATCCACGCGCCACGACCAAGGGAGATCGTACCCCGTACATATGGAATATGTAACGGTGTGGAGAGATAGTCTTGATGTGCTAGAGAACTCCAGGGTTGAAGTTTTCGTGTTTCAATCAGCCGCGTTCGAGCTTCTCGGGTGTCGGTCCGTCCTACACACAGGCAGCTCTGATCACTGCTGGCTGAAGCTTTTAGACCTGAACAGACTTGAGAGGTCGGAAAGTCGTCTCTGAAACACAGACTCAGGAACCTCGAGCTCACTTTGGTCACCAGAACTTTTGCCTGAGAATGTTGTAACCTTGGATAACTCCGACATTGCTCCATGCTCCCGTATCCAGCTGCTCGGTTTACTGTAACGCTGTTTCATCTTCAGACATGTGACCACAGACCTGTGGCCACGGTGCTGAAGGCCCTTCTATCCTTTGTGTTGGCCCCAGTGTGTTGATGCGTGCTGTATAAATACAACAGTAATGTGCAAAAAACTTGAGTCAGATGTTCTTGTAGTTTTTAAAGTGCCCTTGAGCAACAGCTCTCCAGCAAAGAAGCAGTTTTAAACTGTCTTTAGGCTCTTTGTCAGCAGCAGCCTGTCATGCCAAAGGTGATACAGTTTGACATAAAAGCGTATCGTTGCTCCAACGAGCTGTTAGCTGAAAGCTCTGCATATCTCCTTGTAAAATCAGAGGAAGCTAATCATGTTCACTTGAGCCTCGGACGGCTTTCAGGAAGCCGTGGGCCTCCTCAGAGCCGGACCTCGCTGAAGCAGTGTGACAGGGAACAGAAACCTCCAAGCCCGGAGATCACACCAAACAAACACAAGTTTCCATGGATGTTTAAACATGAATCAGATTTATTTCTGTTACATTTCAAAGGAACAGAAGACTTTCAGCTAAACGAAGATCAAACAATTTAAGATGAGGACACGAGACTGAAACATCATCAAAGACAAACACCAGTTTGGTTCAAAGGTTAAACGTTGGGCAGACGTGACCCTACTACAGAGCCGCCTTCAGCTTCACCCAGAAACACGGAGACGAGAATAGGAAGTCGTCAGGGTCTGATGACAGAGACGAGTCCAGAGGACAGCAGGGAATAACGTGGGATGCAAACAGGCTGGAATCTGGATTCATTTTACCTCCAGACGCTCTGTTTGTGCTCGGCTGTGTTCGCTGATTCGTCAGTGACCACGGTGACCTCGCCAACACCTCTGGTCCGAATCATCAGTGGTCACTGAAGACGTGAGGTTCGTAACGGGACTTTTAACATCTGGTTTCCTATAATGGTAAAAACAGTCGGGAGTGCTGTGACGACCGCAGACCAGTGTTTGTGGTGATGTTCAGTAGAAGGGGGAGGTGCCGTTCCAGGCAATCACAGCTCCGTCCCACTTGGTCCTGATGGTCATCTCCAGTGAGGGAAACCGTTTCTCTGGATCTCCTCCATCTCTGGACGACGCCTCACAGTGGTGGGAGTGAGTATCTGTACAGGAAACAAGAAACAGATGGTGGATGAAGCACGAGAGGGATCCCGGTCAGACCTGCAGACGTGCGACCGCAACGCTCACCGACTGTCAGCCTGGCCGTCGCTGTCTGCGAGCTCTGCCCACAGTAGTAGTACAGCTGGAACAGATGCTCCGCCCTCCAGTCTGACAGCAGCGAGCGTGTGGCGCTGAACAGGACCGAGCAGCTGCTGTTGATGCTGCAAACCCACACCGGGAACCTGGGAGTCTTCAGCATGCTGCCCACCTGCAGACGGAGGGAGACAGGCAGGGGGCGCTCTTCTGACTGTAAGAACTCAGCTGTTTAACTTAAAGAGCCTCGTGGAGAAAGTCTCTGATGTAGGTGGAGGTGGTTGGTCAGTGCCTAATGGCACCTGTTGGCTAATATTCGTTTTTGGTTTTGTTTGAAGGTGGAGAGGGTGGAATGCTTGGATATCAGCTAACAGGGAGTGTTTAGCAAGCTGCATCCATAAAATGATGAAATCCTAGTATCGCTCTCACCCAAATTAACGGTACACCCGCATCAACGAGGCCACGCCCCTAACAGAATGATCCAGGTGGATGAGTGATAACACATTATCCACAGAGACGTGTCTGTGAAGGTCCTCAGTCATGGTTATCGTGGAAAGAAAAGCATCTGGACTACTTGGAGGCGTTTCATCTGAGAAGCTTCTCCAGCTCTGAGGCAGAGGATCAATAGGGGATCCACGACCCTCTTAGGGACACTCCCCATAGGGCCACCATCTGTTCTCAGAACTGAAGAAGCTTCTCGGATAAAACGTCTTCAAGAAGCTTAAAGAAATCCAGACGCTTTTCTTTCCATGCTCCTTAGATCCACCCTATTAGAGCACTTCGCTCTCGCTCTGCAGGCCTACTTGTTGTTCCTAGAGTATTTAAAAGTAGAATGGGAGGCAGAGCCTTCAGTTTTCA